ATGATGATAAAAATGAATGGGTTTCCAGAGTGGCTGAATCGAACACTTCAACGGACGATAGTTCTGTGCCTAAACAGGGTGAATATGGATTTGAGGGCGATCATCATACTTACACCGATGCCGAGGGTGTCGTTTATATTTGGGACACAGAAAAATCTGCATGGTTCCCGAAGGTAGATGATGAGTTTATGGCTAGGTATCAGCTTAGTTACGGAGTAAATCCTCCAGAAAGTAACGCAGAACAAACTAGTGTAAATGAGCCAAAGGAATGTCGTGAATCTGGTGCAGAAAAAATGACAAAGGAAGAAGCTTCCGACAAAGCATCAGAAGGCAAAAAACGTCCTGCGCCACAAGAACCTGCATGGTTTGATATACCTAATGAACAAAATACAAAGGTTTACGTAACTGGTTTACCAGAAGACATCACGGAAGAGGAATTTGTAGAAGTCATGTCTAAGTGTGGTCTTGTTGAGCGTGATTCTAAAACTCAGAAAATGAAAGTGAAAATCTACATGGACAGTAATGGTTATCCAAAAGGAGATGCTCTTTGCACGTACATAAGAGTAGAATCTGTTGAATTGGCTCTTAACCTTTTGGATGGTTCAGATGTACGGGGTCATCGTATTGGGGTGCAACGAGCTAAATTTGAAATGAAGGGTGATTATAATCCTGCTCTGAAGCCAAAGAAGGCGCGCAAAAAGGACAAAGACAAGCAAAAGAAAATGAAGGAAAAGCTTTTCGATTGGCGTCCAGAGAAAATGCGCGGAGAACGTTCGAAGCACGAACGAATTGTCATTTTACGTAATTTATTCGAACCGAAACTATTTGATGAGCACGTTGAGTTAATTTTAGAATTCCAGCAAGATTTGCGAGAAGAGTGTTCTAAACTTGGAGAAGTTAGACGTGTGGTTTTATATGATAGGCATCCAGAAGGAGTTGCCCAAATAACTATGGCTGAGGCCCGAACAAGCTGACGCCGTTGTCGCCTTGATGAACGGTAGGTGGTTCAATAAACGACAACTGAAAGCAGAAATCTGGGACGGTAAAACAAAATTCAAAATTGGAGAAACCGACTCAGAGATAAGTCAGCGTTTGGAGGGTTGGGATAAATTTTTGGAGGGCGAAGAAAAGAGGAGAAAGAAATAATTGAGTAATACTTTATTTGTAATTGGTTTTTACTTTTTATTACTAGTATTAGGTTTAGTTTTTGTTTTACAGAATGACAAAATTTTACTTAATTGCGATTAGTTGTTTTCAATATGTATATTTGTTAATTTAATGTTGCATGGATAAATATACTTTGCGAATAAATTACTTCATTTGACGCTGGAGTATAATGCTAAAGAACGTTAAATAAAAAGAAACGCTTACAAAGAAAATCCTGTTTTTATGTTTTGTGATCTCAGCTATTTCAGACCGAACCATTTTCGATACAAGTTTATCATGTTTCAAGTTGCCAAGCTTATGGTAGGATTTGGCTCTAGTTTTTTTCTCTTAAGTATTACGCAAAGTTTAATAAGTTTATGGCACCGCATATACGAAAGTTTTCCCAAGCCATATTTAATTGAAAAGTTCATCGCTGCCTACTTACAATTTGTTTTGGGATGCCGATTGTTATTTTTTTATATATTATTTTCATAGTTCCCGGTATGTAATATACCGCTTCTCGATTCAAAGGTGAGATTATTTATTACAGAGTAGAAATACGCTATTTTTAAAAGTAGTATCTATATGTTCAATCTATATTCGATTTCAAATTTTTTTTCGATATCGTTAGACCAATTTTATATTATTTTGGATGCCGAGGTGTATTTGCAAAATATGGCAAATTTACCCTTTGACACATTTCACTTATTTTCTAAAAACATATTATATGTTGATATAGCTCGGCATAGTTTTTTTTTTATATTACTTACAACAATTCAATTTTTATTATTAATTCATATGTAATGAAACATTTTGCTATCCTATCTTAGACTTATCTTACATAACTCATATGCAATAATAATTAACAAGTCTAAAAGAATCTATTGTAATCTATAATTTTTGTACCCAGTACTGTGAGCGTGTTTATTTTCAGAGCATTTATATGATGAATAGGTATTTCATGTTACGTTCATGCTACACAATTTTAATATATCTATATAAGATACTTGATGATTACTACATTGAACAATGTTTTAAACAAAATTTTCGACTTACAAAAAACACACATGTGTCTCATGTGAAGTAGGAGAGGCGAAGTACAATTTTGATAGTCATCATAACAGCCAAACAATACTGATTATAAGATAGTGCCCAAACGGAAAGATGAAGGTATGTAAGTTCGAACAAGTTTACATTATTGTATTAAGTCAGCGCTCTACATTAACATGATCTCTAAACCGCATTGCTTTTACGGTGTCAATAGTAAGTTTTTTTTGTTCGTTTTTATTAATAAAACTGTTACTTTACTGTAAGTTGAGTAACATGACGAGTTGATTACCAGCAATTAATTTTGTTTTATGTGATATGTATTTCTTGTCGTTTTCTGGCGAATATTAAACAGATAAAGAAAAATCTAACTTAATTATAAGACAAAATATGAAAGAGGAAGGGAAAGGAAAATTCAATACAAGAAAATAAAAGATTTTTGTTTAAGAAATTGTTTTGTTATAAACTGCTATATTATATTCATAAGCTTTGTTTGAATGATCATGTTGTGTTGTTACATATTTCTGACAATAAAAGTCGTTATAAACCGTTTTGGTGTTTATAGCTATAGTTTTTTAACCTACTCGCCGTTTTTAAGGACACTATTATCATGTTTCCAAAATTATTGTTGATAAAAAAATGGCACAATCGTACCCAGTCTTTCTTGTAGGAATAATTAACTAAACCTTATTTATATAAACTTACACATGATTTTCTTTTACAGTTTTGGTTTAGAAACAATATAAACAATATTGAACAATTGAACATGTTAAAGCATTAATGTAGGTATAGTGTGCAAAGCTCTAAGAATGGTAGAAATAGAAACAATTAATAAAATATCAATTAATGAACTTTTAATGAACAACATTAACAAAATTTCGACTTCCGAAAAAAATCGTACATATGTAAATCTTATATAATATTAGGGATTTCTCTGTGAAGTATATGGATTGGCTAAAGTTTTCCATGTGAACTTAAGTTTATAATTTTACAGTTTTGATGTAGAAACAATATAGAAGAATTTTATAAGTTAAAGCATTAATGTAGTGTGAAAAGATTGTAGTGCGATAGAGAAATGGAAATCATTATACATTTTTTACTACTACTACTACTACTACTAAGATTTGAATTTCCAAGTGCAAATATACAGCAGGTGCGTTTGAACTGAATTTATGCTCCTTATTTCAACCGACAAAGCGTCAAAAATGACATCTGTCTTGTTGATAAAATATATTATGGAACATGTTTTAAATGCTTTATTCTAAATGGACTCTATTTGCATCAAGCTTGTTTGTTTATGTGTATCTCTCGCGTTCATCTACTCTAAGAGATGAAAGTGATAGCGCGTGGAGCATTCACGAAGTCCATATTTGTACACACATTGTTGTAGTAAGATTTTTTTTAGACAACACATATGCTAATTAGAGTTCTCTTTCAAATGAAAATTTGCACGAATATTTCGCGTGCTGTTTAAGGTAAAATTTCACATAAGCTCTGAATAACACAAAGGACGTTGACTACTATATTATCGACTCATGTTTATATTTAGCCGCATAAATTATTAACACCAGGTGCAATGCTGAGTTGAATGTACGCTGAAAACTTTATTCTAGACATGTTTTTTGGGCTATTTTACTGAAATTGAATAGAGCATTTGCGAGTAGCTGTTGTGCGGAGCTTACTTGCATTCGATAATGCTCCAAATTCATCTATGAAGTATTGATGGACTTGGGCGAATTATGGTTTGGATTTTAAATTGGGTTATCAAGACGTGAGTTTTTAATTAATTTGTAAACGTTATAACCTCAATTAATAGTTAACCCTTCTATTTGAATTACCTAGATTCAAAAAAATACTTCAATAACTTCAATAAAATTTTAAAATACAAAAAAGTGTGAAGAAAATTTGTTTCCGAGTATGTAAGATTTTTCTTAGTTTTTATTTTTACAATAAGTCAGCTTTAATTTCAGCATTTTTTATATAAAAAATTGTAATTAATTATATATCACTAAATATTATTAAACCATTTTATTTTTGTGTTTAATAATCTTCGAAGTGATGATTTCAATAAATTAATGTTTGCTTATAAAAGTTTTTGCAAACTTTTATGCATTTATTTGTTTCAGTATGATAAAGAATTCAAATAGTACTCAAACGTATGAAAATTTAACAATTATTGGTTTTTGATATTCCAAAATATAACACTATAATGCTATACTAAGGTAAAAAGTTACTCGAGGCATATGAAATAATAGAATTAATTTATCCTGCAGCAAAATATAATTCCATTGACTCATGCCTTTAGTATAGTAATGTATTTACATTATAATAGTAATTATCAGCAATTCTCTAAGATTAGAAAGTCCGTCTTAAATTACAAATTGCACTTGATTTTATTTATATTGAATAATCGGTATCCATTATATTTATCATATCTTTAAATATTATATTTCGGTTCGTTATTTGTTTGAGCCCCTATAAATTACCATGTTGGCAACCTGTGTTCAAACTCTCTCTAAAATGAGATTCAAACTATAATACTATACTAAGGTAAAAAGTTACTCGAGGCACATGAAATAAAAATAGAATTTATTTATCCTGCAGCAAAATATAATTTCTTGCAGACGTTAAAGGAACAGGTATATCACAATGAACTGCAGCATGCAACTTATAAATTATTACAGTATGCATTTTAGAGAAGAAATTGCCTTTTATATATTTTCACGATGTGAAAGCATCCGCTACTGTAATGAATGTATTAAATAATTCAATGTGGGTTGGAAATAATATTGGGATAAATAATTATTTTAGTATGTGCTGCAATATGTTTTATATTAATTTTTTTCAGATAAATTCAATTCCTTTTTTGCTAATAACAGAAAGTCACTTGCTAAATGTAATTGATCCGTTGGCTTGAAAAATATATAGTTTTTTTTATATCTAATGAAAGTTTCAAAATTTAGACTGATGTTTCCAAATGATTAAGTTGGATAAATTCAACTCATTGAGCAACTAATGTGGTAGTTAATTGGACATGAAAATTGCAGGATGGTAATTTACTGTCTATCAAATGCGAAAATTATACTATTTCTTTAGTAGTAAAATTGAATACGAGGAAAATACTGTTTGTTTTTTTATTATATAAATTTATATATTATATAAATTTAAAAAAGACGGCAATTAAAATCTAGAAGTTAGTAGTAGTAGTTAACATGACAATGACATGAAATGACATTTCTATCCTAAACTCAAAGAGTAAATACATAGTTTCGACAACTTGTTAAGTTATCATGATTATTAGTGTGTTTTACCATTTGTGATGTTTGTGTTAAAAAATATATATTTATCAATGTGCACATACTCATACCATGGATTAATAATGGTTTCATATGCTATATTAGGATACAAAATTGTAAGTGTTTTATTACTATTATCATTATTATTGTTTTTCCACAAAATTTCCTTTATATAATTTATTTAGTTTCAATTTTTATAGTTAACTTGATTACCACTGAATGATGGCTAAGATGCTAGCCGAAACGTATGGATTTTAAATAAATAAATTTAAAAAAAAAAACTCATACTATTTTTATTGATGTTACGCCCGATTATTAAACTCAAATTAAACATATATATATATATATATATATATATATTCAATCTTCAGGGCAATACATCAGTTAAAAACTTGTAGGAACTTATAACATTTTTATTGTTTCTATACGTTTCGACACATTGTTTTGTGTCATCTTCAGTGGAATGTAATTGTAATATTCCTGATCATGTCGTAATAGTCATTGTTCACAAATGCACTACCAAAACAGTTCTTGTCATTTTAAATCGGAACAGTTATATAAATTTTTAGAAAGAATTTCTTATTGTAGAGTACATATCGCAAAGTCGCTGTCCGAGTCGACAGTCAATTGACTGTGCAAATATTATTTGACCGGCCA